GGGGGGGGGGGATGTGTCATACCAGTAATGACACTGAGGGGGGGATGTGAGATACCAGTAATGACACTGAGGGGGGGATCTCACATACCAGTATGGTCACTGGAGGGGCTCTCACATACCAGTACGGTCACTGGAGTGTATCTCACATACCAGTATTGTCACTGGAGAGCATCTCGCATACCAGTATGGTCACTGGAGGGGATGTGTGATACCAGTATTGTCACTGGAGTGGATCTGTGATACCAGTATTGTCACTGCAGGGAATCTCACATACCAGTATTATCACTGGAGAGGATCTTGCATACCAGTATTGTCACTGGAGGGGATATGTGATGGCAGTATTCTCACTGGAGGGGATATGTGATGGCAGTATTCTCACTGGGGGGGATATGTGATGGCAGTATTCTCACTGGGTGGGATATGTGATGGTTATTCGCACTCGAGGGGATATGTGATGGCAGTATGCTCACTGGGTGGGATATGTGATGGCAGTATTCTCACTGGGTGGGATATGTGATGGCAGTATTGTCACTGGAGGGGATATGTGATGGCAGTATTGTCACTGGAGGGGATATGTGATGGCAGTATTGTCACTGGAGGGGATATGTGATGGCAGTATTGTCACTGGGTGGGATATGTGATGGCAATATTGTCACTGGAGGGGATATGTGATGGCATTATTGTCACTGGAAGGGCTGTATAATACCAGTTTTCTCACTGGGGAAGGGGGGGATTGGTGTTTGTGTATTAGCATTATTGTCACTAGATGAGATGTGTGATATCCATATTGTCACTGGAAGGGCTCTAAGATACTAGTATTGTCACTGGAAGGGCTCTGAGATGGCAATTTTGTCACTGGAGGGGTTCTGTGGTACCAATATTGGCACGACAAGGGTTCTTTAATACGAGTATTTGCACCATCAGGGTTGTGCGATTGAAGTATTGTTCCCAGCAGCTGTGTGTGTGTGTGTGTGTGTATATACAGTATATAGTTACTTACACAGCTGTATAATACTGATATTGTATGACTGATGGTGTTGTGTATCTTTGGCATTGTTGTATATTATGTACAGTATACAGTCACTGGAAGTATTGTGAAATATGAGAAAGATCATTGGCAGTTCTACAGTATGTAATATGACACAGGTCACAGGTGTGGATGTGTAATATGACATAGGTCACAGGTATGGATGTGTAATATGACACAGGTCACAGGTATAAATGTGTAATATGACACAGGTCACGGGTGTGGATGTGTAATATGACACAGGTCAAAGGTATGGATGTGTAATATGACATAGGTCACAGGTATGGATGTGTAATATGGCACAGGTCACAGGTGTGGATGTGTAATATGGCACAGGTCACAGGTGTGGATGTGTAATATGGCACAGGTCACAGGTGTGGATGTGTAATATGGCACAGGTCACAGGTGTGGATGTGTAATATGGCACAGGTCACAGGTGTGGATGTGTAATATGGCACAGGTCACAGGTGTGGATGTGTAATATGGCACAGGTCACAGGTGTGGATGTGTAATATGGCACAGGTCACAGGTGTGGATGTGTAATATGGCACAGGTCACAGGTGTGGATGTGTAATATGGCACAGGTCACAGGTGTGGATGTGTAATATGGCACAGGTCACAGGTGTGGATGTGTAATATGGCACAGGTCACAGGTGTGGATGTGTAATATGGCACAGGTCACAGGTGTGGATGTGTAATATGGCACAGGTCACAGGTGTGGATGTGTAATATGGCACAGGTCACAGGTGTGGATGTGTAATATGGCACAGGTCACAGGTGTGGATGTGTAATATGGCACAGGTCACAGGTGTGGATGTGTAATATGGCACAGGTCACAGGTGTGGATGTGTAATATGGCACAGGTCACAGGTGTGGATGTGTAATATGGCACAGGTCACAGGTGTGGATGTGTAATATGGCACAGGTCACAGGTGTGGATGTGTAATATGGCACAGGTCACAGGTGTGGATGTGTAATATGGCACAGGTCACAGGTGTGGATGTGTAATATGGCACAGGTCACAGGTGTGGATGTGTAATATGGCACAGGTCACAGGTGTGGATGTGTAATATGGCACAGGTCACAGGTGTGGATGTGTAATATGGCACAGGTCACAGGTGTGGATGTGTAATATGGCACAGGTCACAGGTGTGGATGTGTAATATGGCACAGGTCACAGGTGTGGATGTGTAATATGGCACAGGTCACAGGTGTGGATGTGTAATATGGCACAGGTCACAGGTGTGGATGTGTAATATGGCACAGGTCACAGGTGTGGATGTGTAATATGGCACAGGTCACAGGTGTGGATGTGTAATATGGCACAGGTCACAGGTGTGGATGTGTAATATGGCACAGGTCACAGGTGTGGATGTGTAATATGGCACAGGTCACAGGTGTGGATGTGTAATATGGCACAGGTCACAGGTATGGATGTGTAATATGGCACAGGTCACAGGTGTGCATGTGTAATATGGCACAGGTCACGGGTATGGCAATGCTCTTTTGTGAAATATGTAAATTGTCACAGCCGTTATGGGGGTCATATAAAGTAGGTCACAGGCAGTACCATGTAATATGTGTGTAAACAAACAAATATGTGTAAAGATTGCTATATTAGGAAGGTTATTAGCGGTGATGTGTAATATGTATATTGTCATAGCCAGTACCGGGTAATAGGGCACTGCCAATGCTATGTCACTTGAATTGCTGTGCCAGTTGAACTGGATATGGCAGTATAGTGCTGGTACGAGCTTGGCCATTGTTCATGGTCATCTACAGGTCCGTGTTGCAGAATGAACTTGGTGACTGGCCGCACTGTGCCAAATATGCGAGGACGGTGGCCAAAATGTATTATAAGCTTAGCCACTAGCTAGTTTGGTCAGTTGCTTCTGTGTAGAATTTGTTGTTAGGGTAGCAGAACTGTATGACTGACAAATGCTGATTTCCAGGATTAGCACATCTGTAGCAATGATATTAGATAAAAACATGTAGATATACTGTATACAAAACGTGTCATGATTTGATATATACTGTACATTATGCTGAATGAGTTTCTACTTAAGGGGTCTATTTTTAAACAATGTGCAGCTTGTGAAACTGCAGCTACATTCATCTGTGTGACTTTAACAGCTGTTGTGAGAATGGGCAAAAATGTATGTCATTTCTCTTCTGGTCGAAAGTGCTTCAATACAGAACAAAGTGAATGGGGAAAATACTGCAGCACTAGATGGAGCTGAGGACCACAGGAAATAAATACATGTTATTAGGGAGATACAATGTTACAATTCAGAAGGATGCTAAAGGGAATGAGCGTATAAATGTAACCATTACTATCCCCATAGTATCAATGGCTACATGTATATGCACATTTCCTCCAGTGGGCTATAGAACTTTGTATCTCCCCCTACTAACATGTATTTTTTTCCTATGACCCTCCAGCTGCATCTAGTGGCCATAATGGGGTATTTTCTTCATTCACTCTTTTCCTAATGAATATACCTATTGAAGAACATTCAGCCAGAAAAGAAATTACACTAAGGCCAGGTTCAAACCATTTTCCTGGACTAGATCTGGAATGCAGTGCATTGCATTTTGCCACGATTTTACCGCGTTCCGGAGCTGGGTTTTTTTTTTCTTTTTAGTTTAAGGGCCGGTTCACACCAAAAAGAGTGTGTTCCAGAGCAGTCAGCCTCTGGAACTCACTGTATTGCAACCCAGCCGTCTCCCCGCGTTCAGGGCCGAGAAGGGCGTGGGGGTGCACTGAAGTCAATGGCACCGCAGCCATGCCCCCCCGCCCGAAGTGCAATCGCCTGCTGCCGAATGCATAGCACATCAGTGCCTGCGTTCTGGTCCAGTGCGATCGGCAAAAATAGTGCATTTTTGCAGATCACAATGGACCGGAAAACAGGCACTAAGAACATTCAGTTTTTTCTCACAATAGCTGGTCAGCTCCCACAGAACAAATTTACATGCAGCTTCTACTGGAGAAATTCCAGTTCATTTATTATAAATATACCTGTAAGGCATTCTTTCTCAACTCAGGGGCCATGGCACCCTGGGGTGCCTTCTACCTTCCTCAGGAGTGCCTTGAAATATTTGCACAATATATTTGAATCACGCCTTTCAATGGTGCAGGCAGTCTTCTGATGTGCAAGAGGGGACTCTCTGATATAAAAGGGGGGACTCTGATAATAAAGGGGGATCTTATGTGAAGGGAGAAGCCCCTTTTTTGTGAGTCTTTACGTATCAATTTCACCATATCAGATTGCTATCTGGGATAAGGGGGTCTGGTATGGATTATGGAGGGGCCACACGTTGTTGTTTACATTTTTACATGTTTGTTATTTTACATTGTAGACTGGGGTGCCTCAAGATTTTGCATACTTTTAAAGGGCGCCATGACTGAAATAAGGTTGAGAAATGCTGCTCTAAGGGATGGTTCACGAGACCCCTAAGGGATGGTTCACGAGACCCCTAAGGGATGGTTCACGAGACCCCTAAGGGATGGTTCACAAGATTCCTAAGGGATGGTTCACGAGACCCCTAAGGGATGGTTCACGAGATTCCTAAGGGATGGTTCACGAGACCCCTAAGGGATGGTTCATGAGATTCTTTTTATAAATAAGCCACTGTGGAATGGTTCACACTTTTGTCATGTATTTTTGTATGCAATCTTTAGGTGTTTTGTACATGCTTTTCAACGTGTATGTCATGCATTTGTATGTGT